CTGTTCAGTAACTAACCAACCCTTTGCTGCTGAATGGTTTTGGGTACTTCAGTTAAATGGCCTTTCTTAGTCCTTTTGCAGATGTTCAGAGATGCAGACACTGACTTCTCAAGTGCTTATTTGTCTCTCTAAACTAAAATACTGTAGCACTCTTGGCCAGGGGGTTGCAATAGCAGAAATAGTCAGTTGTTAGGTGGGAGGGTTTTGGTTTTTTGGGAGGGAGGGGGGGTGAAGAGTGTGGTGCGTTATGTCACAGGAAGAAGGAGTCTTATGGAGGAGGGAGAGGGAGCAGATTAAGGAGCTGCATGGAAACATATAGCAAATGTACAATAAAAACTGTATTTAGTTGTAAATCAACATGTTTTAATTGTCATAGCAACCAATGAAAATATGCCTTTAAAAAAAAAACCAAAGCAAAATACAATGGGAAAGTTAATAGAAATGAGTGAGTTAAATCAGGCTTTTTGCTTGTTGATCTAAATAGACTTTATATCAGTCGGTCAATCCACCCTGCATTAAACCATAATTCTTCCAGCTGAAATGGATTTAACATCTAATTGCTTATACTCTACAGCCGTAGTCAGCGATGTTTCCAAGTCAGGTCTGAGATGAGCTAATGTTCCAACCTAGCCACTACTGCTGCTTTTTTATCCCATTGTTTCTCCTTGGCTGTGGTGCAGTGTAGCTTCTTACTGCCTGGCCCCAGCAGAGGCATGGGCATGGATGAAACTCCATGCCGTCCAAATGTCTGAAGTCTCCTTGGCTTTGTGGGTTGGGTCCATTTTTCTGTCATTGGTTATTGGTTATTCTCAACATAGAGAGGACTGGATTTATGTGCACTCGGTGCTGTTCTGGTGAGGTAGCTTACCAGTTAAACTAGCGTTTTGTTCACCTTTTGCTCTGAGTGGACTCATGTATCTGATCCAGCAGCATAATTTTCAGTCTCGTTTTATCAGGAAAAAGGTAAAAAGTGTGTGTGGGTGTGCGTGTGTGAGAGAGAGAGAGAGGAAAAAAAAAAAGGCAATTACTTATGAGCTACGAAAAGCTTTCCAGCATCCCAGAGGAAATAGATTCGTGTACAGAAAGCAGGTGGGAAGGCCTAAGGTACAACGTAAACGTGCATAAAAGTATGACATACACTCTAGAAAGCGCTTCTCAAAATGTAGGTATTACTGCAGTAGTGTTTAACCTCTGGCCTTTGAGGCCATGTCATCCAGCCCCTGGGGCATCCCAGGGATCTAGAAATTTGCCAGTGGGGGAGTGCCTGCCAAATATCTGGAGCCATGGAAAGCTCCACAGGCTAGATGTGTGGCTCTGGGTGCTGGATCATGACAATATGCAGTTTGGCCAACATCTGATCAGGTCTAGCATGTGGGGTCAAGCTGATATGTGCAGCTGGGCAGGCGCACTGGATTGCATCTGCAGACTGACCATGCGCTGGGGGCTGGCCTATGGACTGGCCCTGAACCACTCCTCTGGGCCACGGGACCAGAAGGCAGAGCAGTACTATAGTAGTTGGCTGTAAACTTGACTATAAATTAAGGCTTGATATTGTTGCTCTTAGAAATCAGAAAAAAAAGGTTGAGTTATGAGGGTGAGGGTAACTTCATATGCCACATACATTTTTATTAGGGACATTTGATTCAGGAAAGCAAGAAAGATTGACCAAATTGCTGGTATACCTCCTGACTATTGCAAATTAAAAATATATACAGATATTATGTAGAAGACTATTTCAGTGCATATAATTAACTTGCTATATGAGGGAGTTCTTCTCATGGCTTCATAACTGACAAAAAAGCAGTAGTTGAGTAAGAGTGTGGTGTTCTAGGTTTGTGCCTAAGTAATGGGCAATAATCACAATAGCAGTGTGCATATTATCTATTTAGATTAGCAAGCTAGAAACATTATGCAGACATAACACGTTGTGCTAACTAGTAGTCTCTTAACGTCTCAACAGTTCTTATAATTGCTACATTAATAATATTTCATAAGCTGTTAATGTCTAGAAAATGTTTGGTCTTCCTAAAACATCTATGATTTTTGGAAGAAATGATTCTGAGTTGTCAAGTGAATTAACTTTAAAATCTGTAGGAATAAGTAAACATTTTTCTGTGTCATTCTTATGTTTTGTGGACCAAGGCAAAATACTAGGTTATGATGAAACACTCAAAATACTCTTTCTGTGTTACAGTTTGTAACTCTAAGAGCTACATGTGAAAGTGTTTCCTTGTAACAAATGCTTTACCCTCAATAAGGATTTTGGTCAATCATGTAATAGCTGGTGTCTCAAGAATATATTTGTACTATGGTGGTACTAGGAACCTCAGTTTATTAAGCAGTATATTAAATAGTCTCAGAACAAAAAAGATGCTCCCTGTCCACTTTTAAATTAGCTGGTTCAGACATTGCCAGCAGAGTAGCCAAAGCACTGTGGAGGTTGGTGCAGGCAGCTCAGGAAGCTGAGAAGACCCATTTCCCACTACATTGTGGTTCACCTTGCTGTGGCAATGCAGTGCCCATGTTAGGGTATAGTTACACAAACAAGCTACCACAAGGCAAGTTAGGGTGTCAGTTTAAAGTAGGGGTGGGCAAAAATATGGCCTACGGGCTGGTTCTATCCCACCAGGCACTTTCATCCAGCCCTTGGTGCCCACCAATGAATTGTACCCCACCCAGCCCTTCCACCCATGAGGGTGGGAGTGAGGTGCCCACGTATACACATGCCCCAAACATACCCTACTGCACCTTGCTCCCACCCTTGTGGGCGGAAGGGTGCATGCAGCCTGGCCAGCGGGCAGCATCCAGGCGGGGCTGCTGCCACCAGGGACTTGCTCATCTTCCCCAGTGTCCTGCTCACTCTGGGTAGCAGGTAGGGAAGTGCTGGGGGATGGGGGTGAAGCTGCAGCTGGGCCGGAGTGTGGGGCTGGTGGCATTGTGGAGCCCATGCCCAGGGAGGTGATGGCAGTGTGGAGCTTGGGTGGGCAGTGTGTGGGTGTGAGAGAGGGTGGAGGGGTCTGGGGCCCCTCCCACACTCCTCCCATAGTGTGCATCCTCAGCAGGTGGTGGCAGTGCAGCAGCAGCAGGTGGGGGTGCTCAGGGTGCTTGTGCCTTGCACAGGTGCTAGTGCCTGATGGGGCACAGCTCCAGCCAGTGCTGCATATTGTGGTGAGGCATGCAGCCCCTGCTGCTGGGCAGTCTCTATCACTGGTGCTCCCCGCCACGTGCATGCAGCCCCCATACTCGCATGGCAGGGGAAGGACACATGCATGGTGTGGGGGGGGGGAGGGGTGGTGGTTCTCAGTGCATATCTGGAAGTGGACCAGAATCACTTCTGGGTCTGCCAGGGAACATGCGGGGCACCCCCACCTCCAGCTCGGTAACTGGTGCCTCCTGGGTCTTGGGGGGCCACCCAGGGTCCCCCTGTTGCCAGTTGCTGAGCTGGAGCGGTATGGGGCGGGGGAGGTCCCTATGTGCTTGTTGGCGGACCTGGAAGTGGACTGGAAGTACTTCTGGCCGACTTCCGGAAGTACTTCCGGTCCACTCCCAGGTTGGCTGCTGAGCACGTGGGGGGCCCCTCCACGCTCCTGTGGGATGCTCCCTCCGTCCCACCATTGCAGCGTTCGTGAGCCGTGCCTGGTACCTTAAGGTATATAGAAAAAACATTTAAAGCTGTGTCTGTGAACAAATCGCTGATTCTCCGAATTGGCATCAAATCTTCAGATTTGGATGTGGCCAAATTGAATCAGGACAGTGATCCAAATCAATGAATCAAATCAGTGTCCCTGATTCGGGCCTAATCTGAATTGAATACGGCCCATTTCACACACCCCTAGTAGCTATACCTTTAACTGGTTTAAAACTAACTTGAGTGTTTCTACCTTACATGAGTTGCAATGTAAACATCTTAAGTTGGGGTCAGCAGCCTTTTAGAGTAGTGGACCACTGCTCCCTTGTGCACTGCTAATCTCTGCCCTAAGAGCAGTGGGAAGGAGTGAATTTGGCATTAAGCAGTAACGGTAAGGAATGACAGTAAGCAGCACCTGACACTGGAGGAGAGAACAGCTGGCTTTTAGAGGAAATCAGTGATATGGCACCAGGTGGAGTGGGGTGATATGCCAGGCCAATCCGCCATGCTGCCATGGGCCAAATCCAGCCTGCAGGCTGTAGGCTGCTGACTGCTGCATTTAGTTTTTCCTGCTCCTTAATCATTTTCAGCATTACTGCTATCCTTTGCTTCCCACATGGCTGCAGACTGGGTGGTACATTCACAAGGTTACTCCTTAACTCCTTGAGTCTTGTGAACTAGTTTGAGTATGTATGTAATATCTATGTTCGTATTGAATTAAAAAAAAAAACTAGGAACTCTCATTTTTAAGATGTATGCCTTGGTCTCCCAACTAACCACACAAACATGCCTGCTTCGATTCCCACTCCTGGTTATTGTGTTGGCATCTTAACTTGTTCTCATCTTAACTGAGCTCTTCTGGCAAGGAATTAATTATTTTATTTGGTAAAATACCATGCACATCTGTGGTTCTGCAAGTAACGATAATCTAACTCCACTCCAGGCAGTATTTTTAGATATTTTTATTAATATTTCTGCTGGAGAGGAATTGCGAATCTATTTATGTAATTGTCAAAATTGTTTTAAATCTCTGAAAGCAGAAAGGATTGCTTATGAGAATTTTGTTGTGATACTGTTAGGACAGGTTTTCAGTTCTGACTGTGCACTACTTTTCAGTTATGTGTTTGCCAGCATTGGTAGAAATTAATCATGTTGGCCCCTTCCTATGTGTGAGCATCGTGTAAATGTCTTAAAGTAATTGCCAGCATCTCCTCTGTTTCCCCAACTGAAGCTTAATAATTTGGCCATGACTAGGAATCATCAGCAAAAGTGATCAAACTCGGTCTTACAAAGTAAATAGTTGTTGGCAATGTGTATTTTTGAAAACCTTTACAGTGCTCAAAAGATTAACACCCCCTGTATTAATTTCTAGGGGAAGCAGTTGCAACTGAAGTTTCCTCCTCTTTTGTGATTTTGTCCACATGTACTTTAGTAGTACTGGTAATACTACTTGTGAACTGTGTATCCTGTTGTAAAGATCCTGGGATAGACTTCAAGGTAAGCACTGAATTTTAAAATGGTTCAGAGATAATCTTGTGCATTATATTGTCTTGCAACTCACATACGTGATTCAGAGAATCTTTCCATGGTAGTAGTGTTTAAGAAAGTTTTCTTATCACTGTATTTTCTTTCCTGAAACAAACAGCTTCTACACTTATCTGCTAGGGAGCAGCGCTGACTGAGAATAAGTACAGAACTTCATAGATTTCATAGCTGTTAGGGCTGGAAGGGATTTTGCAAGATTATTGGGTGAAGTCCCCTGTCTAAAGGGCAGGAAAGTCAGCTGGGGTCAGCTTAGTTCAGTGTGTATATTTTCGCAAGGTATTTTAACTTAATAGAGTAAAGTATCTTTGCTAGTAATCTTACTTTTTATTTAACTTTTCAAAATTGTTGATAAAATGAGGGTTTTCCATATTGCCCATTTGGGGTTTCTTTAATTGGTATTTTAAGTAATAACAGGATATAAGGTAGCTTAAATCAGTAAGCAGTTTGAAGGTTATATAGGTCAACCATAGCGCTACTCTTTTATCTAGTGGAGAAGTTTTGGTAAGTATTCAAATACAACTAACTTTAACTTCTGAAAGCTTGGAATCACTTTATCATTGCAAACAAAACTCAGCTACTTTGAGAATTTAGCCCAATCATATTATTACAAGGGCAGTATCTTATTGAAAGATAACTTATTTTTGCTCATCAAACAAGAAATACTTCAACCTTGTAACACAGCTTATATTAAAAGTAAAGAATGGGAAAGTATAGAGTTATTGCTGCTGTTTGTTTTTGGAAATATTGGTCCTTTCCGGAAAGCCTGTCTTTTTTTTAAATGAAGTGCATTTTAATATTAACACGATACCTTATCTTACACTTTTCTTTTTCTTAGAGACATTAGATTAATTTAACTTAAGAAGTCTTTGTTTGTTTGGGTTTTTTAAGTTTTATAATATGCCACAGTGGAGACTATGAGGTGTTTGACACCTGGGATTAAGGTAGTCAAGTTTGCGTTCAGCTCTGAAAGTGTAGAAGTAATACTTTGGCCTTCTAGTTTAGAAAGTAAGATTCCTTGCATTTTGTTTTATATAAGTATCTTTCCCCTTGCAGGAATTTGAAGATAATTTTGAGGATGAAATTGATTTTACGCCCCCAGCAGAAGATACTCCATCTGTTCAATCTCCTGCAGAGGTTTTCACTCTTTCAGTTCCGAATATTGTTTTACCAGCTCCGTCGCAGTTTCAGCCTCTTCCAGGTAATGGGAGACTACTTTGAATATGAAACCAAAGATGACCAGAGCTATTAAGGTTGCTTTCTAGTATATGAAATTACTGTTTAATTGAGATATAACTGAATACTTTGGATATTACTCCTCTGTTTATCTAAACTGCATGCAAATTTTTTTTGTAAATAAGGGGGATGCCTTTATTGCAGCACAACTTTATGAAACCAGAACAATTATTTTTGATAGTAGATTAAATGTATTCTTACTTCCTTTTCCCAAATTTGCTGAAACACTGGGTTTCAAAAAGGTGCTTTCATAATTATATAATTCAGAAAATTATGCTCTATAACAAATATTTTACTAATATGAGTGGAAAAATAAATGCATGCTGCTAGATTTAATTTGGACAGCTACAGCATTTGTTTTAATTGTTCTGTCCCATGGAGCTATATCTTCTTCCAATGAAATTAATAGGACTTCGGCTGTTGATTTTTATATGGAAGAACGTGCTTCACACTTAGGGAATTTCTTTAGGGCCTGAAATTTGAGCTGAACCCATGTTTGTTACAACCTTGTTATCCTCATTGTAAACTTGCCTTGCTACAAACATGTGATACTGATATGAGATGGTATCAGCCTGATTTTTTTTTTTTCCCCCTGCCCCAATGGGATGAGAATAATTTTTTAAACTATGTGTTGGAAAGCAGAAACTATAAAAGAAAGTAAGTACCTTTAATTTAATTAAACATCTCAAATATTACACAAATTGCATATTTAGTCTATAATATGGAATTACTGATTTCAGATGCATATAACTCTGAACACAAAATAATCTCTCATACGTTTGATCAAATGCAAGTGTTCATATAGGAGAACCAAAGAACTTGGTAATTAGATTTTTTTAAAAAGAAAACCACTGAGTAAATGGCCCTTATACTTCACTTATACTTTAATGTGCCTGTATTTGTACATGCAGTTTGCTGTGCAATTTTATACCTATGCTATTTATTAATATGGTCTTACTCAGGTTACCAGTTACTCTATTAAAATACTGTGGTTATAGAGTATTTAACCATATCACAACAGCTTTCTTTTGCCAAGCACTTAATATGTTGGCTAGAATGTGCTTTTTAAATGGTTGACCATCTTGTAGTTGAATGCGAATTGTAGATATTAGTGATTTCAGATATTTTTACATGAATCAATCAAAAAGGCCTTGTATACAACTTTTGCAGGTCATCAGTTCAACAATAGAGTAGACGCTTGCACATTTTGTGTGGAGTAGAAATGATTCAGAAACTGTCTAGGAACATCAGGTTATCTTGCATGAGCACAGGAAGGTCTTCATAAGAGGGAAAAAAAAAAGTGGTGGTATGTCATTAAGGCCATTTGTTTTCATGTGTTATCTCTATGTATTGCAGGCTTTTTTGCATGATATAATTATGTCATCTTACTGTGACTCAGATTAGAGAATCTCTTAGCTGAGACATGATGAATCAGAGCAGTTCCATGGGAGCTGTCCTAATGTATCATGTCTGGAATCTGCCTGTTGAAGGAAGGCTGAGATAACCATCTATGCAATGGATCAGTGGTTCCCCAATCTCAATTTGTCAGGATCTGGTGATGCAATTCCTGGGATGTACTGAAGTCTGACAGTCAATTTCTTTCACATCTGTACAAACAAGCATGCTTCTGCAGCCGGGTTAAGGGGTCCAGTGCTTGAAAAAGATATCCACTCACTACTGATCTGACTAGGTTAAGCCTAGTAAGAAACATGAAATTCTTATGCTGCCATCCTCACAAATTCACACAACTTTAAGAAGTTAAAACTTAAAAGGATAAGCAGCTGTCTGTATGCTATATTTAATAACTTCCAGAATACAGCTTTAAAAATATTACTACAGTGAGTGAACAAGAAGCAGAGAAAATACTAAGCATATTTAGTGCAACTTACTGATTATCAATGAATAATATCTGTTGTACAGCATATAATGAGACCTATTTTTTTGCTGTATTCCACCTGTTATTTCTTCTTCCCCTTCTGGTTTCTTGTAGTAGGAAAAAAGACAGCATGTTCTAAGTTCTCTTTCCTGTGTTTTTGTGATATATTTTTTTTCCAAACGAAGTTTCAGTTCTTTCTTTCCTAATGTTGTGCTCTCTTTCCTTTGCCTTTAATCTTACTTTCCCACAAAATTGTATATAACTTCTATTGCCTTCCACTTTTTGAATCGGTTGTATGCATCTTCCTGTATTCCACATGTAGATGACTGGTAAATATTTCCAAGACCTTGTAGTCAAAGGACTAAATTTAATAGACACAAAAATGAGTTTGAAGAAGACCTCCATCATAGTGAGGGGCCAATCAGGGATTCTTTTATTGGGGTTCTCTCTGGATCTTACTTGTGAGCCTAGCCTGTCATACTTGCCTGCAGTGTTTATACTCCAACCTCAAGAACCTTATACTTGAAATAATGGTTATAAACCTGAACCTCATGTGCCATCTCCCAGTCTTTTTTTTTTGTAAGTGAGAAGGAATCTCTCCAGCCTCCTGGCCACAGCAAAAGATGGCTCTACCATCAGTGGTTCTTAGTATTTTTTTAGAGCCAAGACACTTCTTGGAAAATGTCAGCTCTTAGTTTTCACTCTTTTTGTCTACCAAAAAGCAATAGAATAGTTTTTCCATTGCAAATAACTTAGAAAGACTAAATCTATGAATTTCTATTTGAAATCTCCGGATTTATCTGGTGAATCATGTTTGCAAACCTAACAGTGCTAATGTTGCATAGCACCCCACAGCTCTTCTGAAAGGATCTCATGGCACCTTGGTTAAGAATCGCTGATCTACATCTCTCAAATAACTTAAAAAAAAAAAAAGAAAA